TAAATCTTGGGCAAAGACCAGTTGTTCTCAGATAAACCTTACCTAGACATATATTTCTTGATCTGCTATGTATAATTTGTCAGTAGGGTGTAGGAGTAATATGGTTCTCGCTGGTTTTCAAAACTAGCTAGGCATTGTTTATCTCTCACATTGTCTCACCCCTCCATCATGGTTTTCCCACTTAAGGTGCCTCCATTTCCCCCCTTTCTCCCTTACTAATACCCTTCTCCTATGGATCAGGAAGAGGAAAGGTCAGCCCCCGTGTCCCAGAAAGCGATTGGCAGGTGGTGCAGGCCCAGGGAAGCACAGGGAAGTGAGGGCGGGGCCAGGCCCAGAAGCAGTGCTTCTGGGGCCCAGAGAAGGCACCACATTGGTCTGGATGTAAAGGATCACGAAGCAGTATTGGTTCCCCAGGTGTCTGGGACCCTAAGACAAGCTTATTTTTATTTTACATGTATGTATGTATTGCCTGCATGGATGTGAGCGCCCCCGTTGTGCAATGCCTGTCGAGGTCAAAACACGGCATTGGATCCCCCGGAACTTTATTTACAGATGGTTATTAGCCACCATCTGTGGTCCTGGGAATTGAACTCAGGTTCTTTGCAAGTGCAGCCAGTGCTCTTAACAACAGCCATCTCTCTAGCCTACATGGAAGATTATTTAAAAAGATTTTTAAATTTATTTTACATGTATTAATATGCCTACATGGATTTAAATGCACCTGTGTCATGCAGTGCCTGTAGAAGACAGAAGAGGGCATCAGATCCCCCTGCATGTGGAGTGACAGTTGTTAGTGCTGCGATTTGAACCCGGGTCTTCCACAAGAACAGCTAGTGCCCTTAACCGTTGAGCCTTCTCTCCAGACTGCAAGTGACAGATTTTTAAAAGGAAGAAAAATAATGACCATAAAACTGACTATGACCCTGTTGAAGGACTGATAAACTTAGTGTAATAATCTTGACTGCCTACAGGCCCTTTTTATTTTGATCTTCCGTGCTAAATATGTGACTTTTGGTTGATGTGTGCTTTTACAACATTTCATTTGGGGAACAACTTTACTCTTTACAGGCCCGAATGACTAAGGGATGTACTATTATTAAGCCTTTCAATCTGACCAAAGGAAAGAAAAGAACGTTTGATGAATCAGCTTCTACATATGTGTCCCTTGCAGAGCAGGTGGAAGCCTTCCACAAACGAACCCCTAATAGATATCATCTGAGGAATAAGAAGGACGACAATAGTAAGTTTCCTCCTGGTGTCACTGCTGGGAGGAGCCTCTCTAACTTCTTAGAAGCACAGGAGGAGTGATTGTCTAAAAGACAAATGGGGAAAGTAAAATGATGGGTATATATGCTGGTGAGTTTGTACAGATGTGGTGAACAGTTAAAGAGCTTTTAATCTAATTGTTTCTATTTCTATGAAAATAATTTCTACCAAAAGATAAAGTCTGAAGATTAAAAGTGGTATAAAATAACTTATCAAGAGAATATGGCTAAGCTGGCTATGGTGGTACACTCTTGTAATTCCAGAACATGGGAGGCAGAACTAGGAGGATTAGGGGTTCAAGGCCAGCCTTGGCTGCGTAGTGAGTTTGATGCTAGCCTGGACTACATAAGACCCCATCTCAAAACAAAACCCCAAAATCTGGCCAGTATTTTGATAGAACAGCATGTGTCTTTGAGGTATTTAAAATTTTTCTCTTTCCATAGGCATTGTTTAGCACTGTGTTAGGTGGTTACATAAGTGACTTTAAATACAGTTTTTCTCTGTTTTCTTTTTGTAACCTCTGGCCTTGGGCATGTTAGGCAAGCACTCTTATCACTGAGCTACATCCTCAGCCCCAAATATAGCATTTCTTAATATGGCTATTCTATTCTACTATTTTATATTATGAAAATAATGAAAAATTTTTAATTGTTAAGATGAAGTATTAAACATGACGTTTGTGTGTTTGTTTTCAGATAGGGTCTCTCTATGTAGTCCTAGCTGGCCTGGAACTCACAGAGACCTTCCTGCCTTTACGTCCCTGAGTGCTGGGGATTTATGGCATGTGCCCACCATGCCTAACCTAAACATGACTTTAAAAAAATTTACTTTTTGGACTGGAGAGATGTCTCAGTGGTTAAGAACACTGGCTGTTCTTCCAGAAGACCTGGGTTCGAATCCCAGCACCCATGTGCAGCTATCAACTGTCTATAACTCCAGTTCTAGGGGATCTGACAGCCTCTTCTGTCCTCTGTGAGCATTGCACGACACAGGTGCACTTACCTATATGCAGGCAATACATGCATACACATAAAATAAAAATAATAAATATTAAAAAAAATGAAAATTAAAACGTTTTAAATAAGAAAAAATTTACTTTTCATTTTTTAGTTTTTTTGAGACCAGGTCTCTCTGTAGCCCTAGCTGGCCTAGAACTTGCTGTGTAGACAAGACTGGTGTTGGTCTCACAGCGATCTACCTGCTTTTGCTTCCCGAGTGCTGAGATCAGAGGCATGTGCCACCATGCCCAGTGACTTTTTAATTTTTATTTATTTGTTTATTTTTGGTACTTTTTTGAGACAGGGTCTTTCTGTAGCTATACCCAGTTGGCCTGGAACCTACTATGTATACCAGGCTGGTCTCAATCTCATAGAGATCCACTTGCCTCTGCCTCTGGAAATGACTTTTTAAAAAAAATATTTGTTTTATGTGTACAATGTATTGCCTGCATGTATGTGAGTGCACCCATGTCATGCGATGCCACGGAGGTCAGAAGAGGGCTTCAGATTCCCCTGGAACTGGAGTTAAGGAAGGTTCATAGTTGCCATGTGGGTGCTGGGAATCGAACCCGGGTCCTCTGCAAGAGCAGTCAGTGCTCTTAACCGCTGAGCCATCTCTCCAGCCCCTGGAAATGACTTTTTAAAAGCTTCTTTTTCATTGATTGATGGATGGATTTTGTGTGTGTGTGTGCGCGCGCGTGTGCTGTATATGCATGTGCACATGTATGTGAAGATTAAAGAACAACTTTGGGGAGTGGGTTCTCCTTCCAGTATGAGTTCCAGGGATCAAACTTAAGTGTTCAGTCTTGTGTGGGACACACTTTTGCCAGGTGAGCTGTCTCCCTTGTGCCTTTTTTGAGACAGGATTTTGCTCTATTGCCTTAGTTAGCCTCTGAATTTGTGATCGTCCTGCCTCAGCCTCCCAAGTGCTGGGATGGATGACAAGTGTGCTCTCCTAGGCCCAGCTCCTAAACATGGCTTCCTAAATAGTATATGGAAGCCAGTAGTATATCCTCAGGTTTTAGAATTCCAAAGTCATGGCAAATAGAAAAATTATTTTACATAATTTTTTTTTTTTTTTTTTTTTTTTTTTTTTTTTTTTTTGGTCTTTTTGAGACAGCGTCTTCCTGTAGCCCCAGCTGTCCTGGAACTCTTATGTAGACCAGGCTGGCCTTGAACTCACAGAGATCCTCCTGCCTCTGCCTCCCAAGTGCTGGGATTAAAGGTGTGCACCACCACACCTGGCTTATTTTGCATAATTTTTACTTTAAACTTGGTATAGTTATAGCTAGGTTATGGTTTTATATATATAAAATATTGCTTATTTCTAAAATAAATAGATTTATGACTGGGTGTGGTGGCACATACCTGTATTCCTAGCATTTAAAATGCTGAAGCAAGAGAATTGCTCAAGTCTGAAGCCAAGCTGGATTATACCAAGTTCTAGTGTAACCAAGGCTTCATAGCCAGCCTTGTCTCAAAAGACCAACCAGTAAATGAACTAATTAACATCTCTTGCTGTTATATAAGATCTAGATAGGAGGATTCATTGTAAGTAATTATGACAGGATTGTTCCTAACCAGGTAGAGATCAATACTTTCTATGAGTGTTGGTGATCGTCTAAATATTGATGCTTTGGCAGAGTTGTTTTCTTTCTTTTTTAAAAAAATTTTACTTTCATCAGTTGACTGTCTGATTTTCCCCTCTCTCTCTTCCTACATGTTTTTGAGACAGGGTCTAGCTATGAGACTGGCTTATTATGTACTCCAGGCTGACCTTGAACTCTTGATCCTCCTGTCTCCAACTTCCTAGGTGCTAGGATTGCAGGCATGTACAACCATGTTTAGCTTTACCATTTGACTTTCTGTGAGTGGCGGCCTGAATACTTTAATATAGATGTTTTTATGAAATTCATAAAGTTAGGAGTTATTAGTGTTTATAATAGCCTTATGTCTTAAAACTATATGAAAAAAAGGTCAACACACCAGGTGTGGTGGGGCACACCTTTAATCTCAGCACTTGGGAGGTGGAGGCAGGTGGTCTTTGTGTGACTTTAAGGCCAGCCTGGTCTACATAGTGAGTTTTAGGACAGCTGGGGCTACAAGGAGACTCTGTCTCAAAAAAGACAAAAAAAAAAAAAAGTCAGCACACAAAATAGTTGGTATTTTCAATAGAAAGACTGTGTAATGGCAAGAAAGGCTTCAGATATGACTCAATTTTAAGTGCAGGGATGGCAGAAGAATTTACTCAAAGACTCCTCTTCAATAAAGAGTGATAGAAGGGATCAGACATTTGATAAGCTGAGTGTACAGAGCCAGGTACTCTGGTTCATTTATCGATTTCTTGCCTAGTTAGGTCAGCTCTTGCAGGTAGAATGGATCTTGGGGAACTAAGGATAAGTAAATGTCTGTAATCTTGGTTTTCAGGCCTGTTACCTTCCAGATCTTCTGTGACCAAGATCTCTAGAGACCCCCAGACTCCTGTACTGAAAACCAAATTGCGGGCAAGGCCTGTGACCTGCAAAAGTACAGCGGAACAGGAGGCTGAGGAGCTTGAGAAACTGCAACAGTAAGTCTCTGTGCTGAGTAGTTTTTGCCAACTTGACACAAACTAGGATCACCTGGAAGAAGGAACCTCAGTTGAGGAATAGTCTCCATTAAACTAGCTTATGGGCGTGTGTGTGAGGCTTTTCTTAATTGTTAATTGATGTGGGCGGGCCTAGCGTACCATGGGCTGTGCCATCCCTGGGCAGGTGGGCCTAGGCTATATAAGAAAGGTTGCTGAGCCAGACAGTAAGCAGCATTACTCCATGGTCTCTGCTCCAGTTCCTGCCTCCAGATTCCTGCTTTCAGCTCCTGCCCTTGCTTCCTTTGATAATGGACTCTCACTTGTAAGATGTAATAAATCCTTTCCTTTCCAAGTTGGTTTTGATCAGTGTTTTGTCCCAGCACCAGACAGCAAACAAGAACAGTCCCATTTGAAGTGTCTGAGGAAGAGGAGTAAGAGCCTGAGTGCTTGCTTTCAGGTTTTTACTTATTTATTCATTTTTGGTCTTTTTGAGACAGGGTCTCTCTTTTAACCCCAGTTGGCCTGGAACTGGCTGTGTAGACCAGGCTGGCCTTGAACTCACAGAGATCTGACTGCCTCTGTCTCCCAAGTGCTGGGATTAAAGGCGCACATTGCCACACCTGGCTTGCTTTCAGTTTTATGAGGGCAGTGGTTGCTGTTTTCATTTTCATGAGGCATTTAATGGCTCTGCAGGCTGTGATCATGTCTATGACAAAGTGAGACTATGGAGGTGCCCTGGTCTGTAAGCTGGTAAAATCAAATGCAGAGGTTAGGACTTAACTTTGGATTCCAATTAAGGACTGTGTGTTCTAAGAATTGCCTCGGTAGAGCCTACTTACTTTATGCTACCCAAGAGATGTTTACAGCTAGTATCCTTGGAGGGAGCTGGAACTTAATGCAGTTAACGTGGGAGCTTATCTCTTATCTCCTTCTATCTTCCTTCCATTCCTTTCTGTTCTTGAAGAGTGGCCCAATCCTTTGAGATGTTGGGGATGAAGCTCAAGGACATCCTACATGTTAGTAAAGTGCTGTACTGTTGGACTATGCCTCGGCCCTTACACTTTTTCACTTTTAAAATTTTCAAACAGTCTCACTAAGTTACTCAGGCTGGCTTCGAACTTCTCTGTAGCCCAGGCTATCTTGAACTTTCTTCCAATCATTTTGCTTCAGCTTTATTACTTGCTGGGATCATGGCCTATGCCACCGGGCTTGGCCCTAATTCCCACCGTCCTCTTTTGAGACAGGGACTTATATATCTTTGGCTCAAAAATAGCTCAGAGTTGCTGTTAGTCAAAGATGACCTTGAATTTCTAACCCTCTTGTCTCCACCTCCTGCGTGCTAAGATTACAAGCATCCACTGTTAGGTCCTGTTATAAGTCCCTGGGGATGGAACCCAGGGCTTTGTGCATGCTAGATGGGCACTAGTAGCTGAGCTATAACTCAACCTGTAGCAGAAATCCTGGAGTGCTTTTCTTTTTTATAAAAAATATTTTATTATTTTTATTTTTATGTATATGAGTGTTATGCTTCCGTGTAGGTAAAGGCACCCGTGTCGTACAATACCTGCAGAGGACAGAAGAGGCTGTTGGATCCCTTGGAACTGGAGTTATGGACTATTGTTAGCTGCCATGTGGGTGCTGGGATTCAAACCCGGGTCTTCTGCAAGAACAGTGTTCTTAACTGCTAAGCTATCTCTCCAGCCCCCTGCTTTTCTCTTTTTAAATTTATTTTTATTTATTCTCTCCTCAAGAGGTGAAGGTAAAACTATGGAGAGCAGGAATCTCACTCTACAGGTGGATCATCATCATGATTATGTTTTGGTTTGTTCTACTCTGTTGATTGTGTAGTTTTCATTTTATTTTATGTTTTATTTTTTTAAACTTAAAATTTTATTATTTTTATTTTATGTGTATGTGTGTATTGCCTGCATGTAGGTAAAAGGCCCTGTAGTTTTCATTTTATTAAAAAAAGTTTTGTGGAGCTGGAGAGATGGCTCAGCGGTTAACAGCACTGACTGCTCTTGGAGAGGACCCAGGTTTGATTCCCAGCACCCACATGGTGGCTACAAACTGTCCTTAACTCCAGTTCCAGGGGAATCTGAAGCCCTCTTCTGACCTCCAAGGCATTGCACGACACAGGTGCACTCACATACATGCAGGCAATACACTCATACACATAAAATAAAAATAATAAAGTATAAAAAAAAATTTTTGTGTGGGCTGGAGAGATGGCTCAGTGGTTAAGAGCACTGGGTGTTCTTGCAGAGGACCTGGGTTCAAGTCCCAGCCCCCACATGGTGGCTAACAACCATCTGTAATTCCAGCTCCTGGGGATCCAACGCCCTCTTCTGACCTCTGCAGGCATTGTACAACATGGGGGGCACTCACATACATGCAGACAACGCACTGATACACATACAATAAAAATAATATAAATAAATAAATAAGACAGGTGTGGTGGCTCACGCCTTTTAATCCCAGCACTCAGGAGGCAGAGGCAGGCGGATCTCTGTAAGTTTAAAGCCAGCCTGTTCTACATAGCAAGTTCTAGGCTAGCTGGGGCTACAGGAAGACCCTGTCTCAAAAAGACCGAAAAAAAAAAAAGTAAAGTTTTGTAACTCTTATTTAAATTCCCTTGTTACAGATACAAATTTAAAGCACGGGAACTTGATCCCAGAATTTTTGAAGGTGGACCCCTCCTGCCCAAGAAACCCCCTGTGAAACCACCTACTCAGTCTGTTGGTTTTGATTTGGAAATTGAGAAACGGATCCGGGAGCGAGAGTCAAAGAAGAAATCAGAGGATGAACACTTTGAATTTCATTCCAGACCTTGCCCTACTAAGATCTTGGAAGATGTTGTGGTAAGAATACTCGTGGTTTGGGAGCTGGCCAGAAGTATCCTGACCAGGACTAAATGCCATTCATAGTATTCAAGTTGATACTGTGAGCAGGACATCATCCTGTCAGGCTGGAGGTGACAAAGAGATGCAGAAGTGACATTTGCTCTTAGGATTTAGAGTCCAGTAAGGGAGGCAGCATGTGTTAAATAATATCAAAGAATAGGCAAATGTGTTCTGGAAGACAGTTTAAAGTATTATAGGAATTCAAGAGAGGGAATGAGTTTGCAGATGGAGGTTTCAGGGAGTGCTTTGTGCAGGAGCAACATTTGATAACATGTAGTTGGGTTGTTATCATTATGTTGTTGCTGTCATGACTGCTGACACTTGTACTGTGTGACCCACTGCTCTGGGTCCTTTCACATGGACTCAGCCCTCATGTCTGTGGAGGATTGGTTTCAGAACCCCCCCCCACATGACCAAAATCTGTACATGCTCAAGTCTCTATGTGAAATAGCATAGTATTTTCATATAAACCCAGTATGTCCTTCTATATGCTTTATTTAGTGAACTTTTCTCTTGAGATGGGGTCTTGTATTGCTCAGGCTCGTCTCAAACTTGTAACCTCAAGAGACACCTTTGTATCAGCCTCCTGTGTAGCTGGGATTATAGACACATGCCACTGTGCCCTTATTGTCATCTTTTTTAGTCAACAATAGTTTCTGGTGAAATGGTAATGATCTCTGATTCGGTACCAACTTTATTCCATTTTTTAGCATTAAACCAAAAGCAACTTGAAGTTATACTTCTCAGGCTTTATACAAATGATGATTATGATTATGTTTAGAAATAATATGCATTTCCTCTTTTAACTATAACTGGAAGCCTTTTTCATATGAGACTCCCCCCATATATGTGTGTATGCGGTATACGGTGTGTTTTTTTTGTATTGAGAATGCACATGGAGGCCTGAGCTCAGTGCTGGGTATCTTCCTCAATCACTTTCTACCTAATTTTATATTTGGGGACAGGATTTCTCATTGAACCAGGAGCTCACTCATTCTGCTAGGCTGGCTGGCCAGTGGGCTCCAGGGATCCTCTAGTTAATCCCTGTGCTCCCAGTGCAGGGGTCATAGATGTGTGCTGCCACCATGCCTGGCGTTTTACGTGGGTGCTAGGAGTCTGAACTCTGGCCCTCATGCTTATGGAGCAGGCATTTTACTGACTGAACCATCTCCCCAAGCCCCTTGAGCCTCTGTTGTATTCACAGTGCCTTCCTTCTTTCTTGCTATGATAGCACATCTGCTATTAGCCAAGCTTTCTTACAAGAAACTTTTTTTTTGAGATAGGGTCTCACAGCCAGTGTAGCACTGACTGGCCTGGAACTCTCTATGTAGACCAGGCTGGCCTGGAACTCTAAACTTAACAAGAAAGAAACTTCTGTTTCTAGAAACTGAATTTCCTCCTCTTGTTTTCTTTTTCTTTTTTTAAAAAAAAAGACTTTATTTTGGGGACTGGAGAGATGGCTCAGTGGCCTCACGGCTGGGGCTTTGGGGGCAGGAGCCCCCTGGACACCTGTGGTGTCAAAAAAAAAAAAATGTACTTACTGCTGTTGCAGAGGACCCAGGTTCAGTTCCCAGCACCCACATGGTGGCTAACAACTGTCCTTAACTCCAGTTCTGGAGGCTCCAACACCCTCTTCTGGCTTCCTCAGACATTGCATGGACCCAGGGGTACTTACATACATGCAGCAAAACACTCATATAAATAAAAGAGAAAAATAGAAACAATTGAGAAGGTTTTCTGTCTGTCTGTCTTTTGAGACAGGGTCTCCCTGTAGTCCCTGCCTGGCTTTTTTTTTTTTTTTTTTTTTTTTTTTGGGTGGTCTCCCTGTAGCCATAGCTGGCCTGGATTCACTATGGTGACCAGGCTGGCCTTGAACTCACAGAGATCCTCCTGCCTCTGCCTCCCAAATGCCAGGACGCTCTGGCGTTCTTTTTATTATTTTTAATTATTTGCGTGTGTGTGTCTGTGTGTGTCTGTGTATGTCTGTATATGAGTTTGTGCATGTGAGTACAGGGCCCCATAGAGGCCAAAAGGTGTCAAATCCTCTGGAACTGGAGTTAAAGACAGTTGTGAGCTGTTTGGCAAAGGTGGTAGAAACCAAACTTGGGTCTTCAACAAAAGCAGTACATGTTCCTGACTACTGAGCCATCTGTCTCGCCATACCCCTTTCTTTGTTTCTAATTAAGCCTCTGGTTGACTTTGATTACAGGCAGTGTAGATGGGGTTCAGTTAGTCTCATGTAGCCCTGACTGACCTTGAACTCCCTGTATAACCTAAGAAAGACCCTGATCCTCCTGCTATACTTCTGAGTGCTGGGACTACAGCTGTGCATCACCAAGCCCAGTTTTCTCAGTTTTTATGGTACTGGAGACTGAACCCAGAGCCTTGTGCATGCTAGGCAAGCACTCCACTAACATTTATGTATTTATTTGTGTGTGTATGTTGTGTTTGTGCATGCATGTGTCATAGCCCCCTGTGAAGGTCAGAGGACAACGTGACTAAACTCTCTCCACCATGTGAGTCCCAAGGATTGAACTCAGATCATCAGCTTGACAACAAGTACTTTTACTCACTGAACCATCTGTCACTGGTCCCTTCGCCAAATGTGATTTTTTTAAAACTTAAAAATTTATTTATTTATTATTTTTCATTTTATATGTGTGAGTATATTGCCTACATGTGTGTAAGTGTACCTGTGTCGTGCAATGCCCCTGGAGGTCAGAGGCATCAAATCCCCTGGAACTGGAGTTTCAGATGGTTGTTAGCCACCATGTAGGTGCTTGGAATCAGTCGTGGGTCCTCTGTAAGAGTAGTCAGTGCTCTGAGCCATCTCTCCAGCCCGATTTTTTTTTTTTTTTTTTTAAATGAAACATTTTTTCCTTTCCCAAATAATGAGGATTATCCCACACAGGCATGGTGGCACATGCCTTTAGTCCCAGCACTTGGGAGGCAGAGGCAGGCAGATCTCTGTGAGTTCCAGGCCAGCCTACGTAGGAATTCTAGGCCAGCTGGGAGTACAGGGAGATCCTGTATCAAAAAATAAAAACAAAACAAACAAACAAAAATCTCATTCAGAGCTTGCTTATTAGAGATTTTTATTGATCCTCTTTATATGAAAATACGACACTTCTGTCTATCACCACTGTATCTCTCTGATGGTTGGGTCCAGAGAAAAGTGAAAAATGAGAAAAGATGGATAGTTTAGAACTAAATAGTTCTTAGATATTTAATTACTTTGTTTTGTGAAAAATTCTGGGTCCTGGAAGGCAGCTGGGCTAGACTAGAGCCCTGGTTAGCCTGGTGCAGTTAGTCATAATGTGCATTTGTCCAGGATGTTGTAGAACAGCAGATTTTGCTGTTTGTTGTAAGAATTATTTGAAAGCACACTAATTACAAAGTCTGCTAAGCTGGACTTCCTATTCTAGTGATAGCATTCTTTAGGAAACAGAAATTTCCCAGCAGAATGAGCATTCCCTTCATGCTAATCCCCTAGAGAGGACATAAGACCTTCCTAGTGATGGCGCTGCTGTACCCAGCTTTACAGGGAAGCCACCTGTCTTAGATACTGAGGCACCAGCTTTCTGATTCCTTCAGGATGACAAATCTTTGTATTTTAAAGTTGAATATGCTTTTTATCTTGTTTGAGATAGGGTTACATTATTTGGCCCAGGCTGGCTGAAAACTTGCTGTGTAGCACAATCTGGCCTCTTGCTTACCCTCCCAAGTGCTGTAATTGCAGGTGTGTGCCATCAGGCCTAGCTTATTGCTTTTAGAAGCCAGTCCTAAAAATATTTGTAGCTAAAACTTTAAAAAATTATTTTTATTTTTTAAAATTTTATTTATTTATTTATTTTTATTTTTTTTCTGTCTTTTTGAGACAGGGTCTCTCTGTAGCCCCAGCTGTCTTGGAACTCACTATGTAGACCAGGTTGGCCTTGAGCTCAGAAGAGATCCGCCTGCCTCTGCCTCCTGAGTGCTGGGATTAAAGGCATGTGCCACCATACCCGTCATAATAAAATATTTTTTTTAAAAATCTTCAAAGTTGTTCAAGATAGTAGACGAAGAAATGATTCTGTGCATTGGATCTCTGTGGTCTACGTAGTGAGTTCTAGGCCAGTCAGGGCTATGTAATGAGACCTTGTCTCAAAAATATAAACAGCCGGGCATGGTGGCGCATGCCTTTAATCCCAGCACTCGGGAGGCAGAAGCAGGCAGATCTCTGTGAGTTCAAGGCCAGCCTGGTCTACATAGTGAGTTCCAGGACAGCTGAGGCTACAAAGAGACCCTGTCTCAAAAAGACCAAGAAAGTAAAAGAAAAGGAAAAACCACCAACCCAACAAATAGCTTTTTTTTTTAAGGGGGTAGCAGGGCTTGAGACAGAGTCTCCTTGTAACCCCAGCTGGTCTGAAATTCACTATATAGAGCAGGTTGGCCTCGATCTCACAGAAATCTGCCTGCCTCTGCCTCCCCAGCGCTGAGATTAAAGGCATGCACAACCACACCAAACAACTGTTTTACATGGTCCAAAAAGTGGCTTTAAAAAGCCACTGTAGGGCTGGGGGTATATCTCAGGTCTAGCATTCAAGATGCTCTGGGGTCAGTCTCATTTACCACATAAAATGGGCATAGTGGTGTACATCTGTAATCCTAGCATTTGGGAGGTGGTGGTAGGGAAATCAAGGCCATCTTTGAGTTCTTAGGGAATTCAAGGCCAGCCTGGCCTAGAGACCCTATCTCGAGAAAAAAGAAAGAAATCCACTCCAAGATAGTCCACATACGTTTTGAGTAGTTGGAGCATTGTTGAAATTAAGAACTTTTGCAAAAGACCCTCTTTGGATCCAAGATATAAACATATAAACCCTCATGTGTTCATTTTTACTATATCCATTTAGCTAACTTTTACTGAATGTCTTAAACTTCACTGGATCTATATTAGGTGCTAGGGATTTATGAACTGAAATAGTACCCACAGGCTAGCCAGGGGAAGTGAGCATCTCATTAAGTTCTGTGACCTTCTGTATGTACAGTCAATTCTTTGTGAATTCTGCATCTGTGGACTCAATTAACCATAGTTGGGAAGTATTTGAGAAAAAAAAAATAACACTTGTACTGAACACATAATAGACTTTTCTTTCTTGACTAATATTCCCTGAATAATATTTTAACTATATTCATCACATTTTTATTATATTAGGTATTTTGAACAATATAGAGATGCCTTAAAGTATGAGAAGATGTGCATAGGTTACATGCAGACACTATACCATTTTTTTGTAAGGACTTAAGTATCTGTGGATTTGGTTGTTTGTGAGGAGTTTCTTCTATTAGTCCTGGCAATGGAGAGTTCTGTTGTCATGACACACAAACTTTTCTTTAAGAGTATTTTTGTTTTTTTTGCCAGGTGTAGTGGCACGTGCTTTTGATCCCAGCACTCTGGAGGAGGTAGAGGCAGGTGACTCTCTGTGAGATCGAGGCCAACCTGGTCTACGTAGCAAGTTCCAGGCCCCTTGGGGCTACAGGGAGTCTCTGTCTCAAAAAAACCCCCCAAAACCAAGAAAGGTTTTCTTCTTTCTTCTTTTGTTGTTTATTTTATTGTTATGTGTGTGTGTCTATGATGTATGTATGAGAGTGCTGGTATGTACACGCCATAGTGCTCACCACAGTGCTCATGTGGAGGTTGGAGGACAACTTTTGGGGGTTGATTCTTCCATCATGGGTTCTGAGGCTCAAACACAGGTAGGTGTTCAGGCTTGTACAGCGAGCGCCTTGTCTTTCTGACCTAGGTTTTCACCTTTCATATCGCATGTTGGAAATTGTTCTGGAATGCCTGATTGAGTTGTGTACCCTTCTAGGGTGTTCCAGAAAAGAAGGTACTTCCAGTCACTGTCCCCAAGTCACCAGCTTTTGCATTGAAGAACAGAATCCGAATACTTGCAAGAGAAGACGAGGTGATTCCCTGGGAGAAGGGCATTTCTTTTTCCCTCTGCATTATCAGTGGAAGTCTTTGTGTTCTTTAAACTTAATGGAGACCAAAGGCAATCAGCTCTTGTCTGGAGTTGTCTTTAACAATGATATGAATGTTTGTTCATCTTTTTTTTGTTGTTACTTTGAGAGCAGAGTAGTTGGTAAGGTGTGAATGTTTTTGCTTTCAGTGGTAACTGGTTCTGATTTCTGAAAACAGGAAAGTTAAACATTAGAGGCTTGTCCATTTCTATAGCAGTGAAATCAACCTGTCTTTGTTTAGCGTTGCCAAGCCCTGCATTTTATTTTGCTTGAGTTGTTCTTACTGTTAGTGAGGGACTTTAAATTATCTACTAAGCAGTTGCATTGTATTGTCCTTGATAACCCAAGGGTCACAAAGGTGATTGGTGACGATTCATGGGATTGTATTATGTAAACTGTCATTGATCCTACTAGCTTCTTATTACAGCTCCCATTTTATCTATAAATATCCAGACTTAGGGTACTTTTATAGCAGATCTCAGCATAAACCTTTTTATAAGGTTCATTTGAAACTAAAATACATGGTAATCTTATGTTACTAGCTTGAACCCAAACAACGTACTTGGTCCTATTCTGGGTCTGGCAACCGTTAATTCCAGTCATGTTTTAGTGGTGCCTGGGGTCTGAATCAAAGGCATGCTTACTTAGTGCCTTTCTTCTGTTCTTCATTTTATTCAACAATGAATTCATTTCGTTACGCCAACATTCCTGAGAAAAACTTTAGATCATGTAAGAGTGATTGTGTTAGTTCTTTACCAAATATTTTCACGTTGCTTTGAACCCTCTGATGGGGTAGCTGACTTTAGCATTGTATCTCCAAGAAAAGGAAGCCAAGACACTTAAGTTTGAGTGACTTGTCTTAATTAGTTCCTTATCTCATAAAGCCTTCTGAGGAGGTGGGAAAGATGAGGAATCCTGTTTCTAAACCAGTTTCTTTCTTAGGAAGAGGAAGAACCAGTAGTGATAAGAGCTCAACCTGTGCCACATTATGGGGTACCTTATAAACCCCACATCCCAGAGGCAAGAAATGTGGAGGTCTGCCCTTTCTCCTTTGATTCTCGGGACAAAGAACGTCAGTTACAGAAGGAAAAGAAAATAAAAGAAATGCAGAAAGGAGAGGTAGGTGTTTCATTTCTGCAAGTTGCAAAATACCATTTGATCTCTCAAAGGAAACCTTTTTCTGTTTGTTTGCTTGCTTAAGACAGTGTCTTGCTATGTAGACCAGACTGACTGAAAAATCTGTGGTGGTTTTCTTGCCTCTGCCTCCCAAGGACTACAGGCGTGCGTCACCTGGCTCAGGGAACTTTATATAGAACTTACTATAAAAATCACTATCTGCTCTCTCCTATCCACAGGCCTTTCTCTGGGATAAATCCATTGCACCTCTGTGCCTTGACTCCCCAAGCCCCATTCACCCTCCCATCTCCCCCACTGTTCTCTCCCCTGAGTTTGGGCCCTGTTCCATTCCTTGTCTTGGGATCCCAGACACCTGGGGAACCAATACTGCTTCCTGATCCTTTACATCCAGACCAACGTAGTGCCTTCTCTGGGCCCCAGAAGCACTGCTTCTGGGCCTGGCCCCGCCCTCACCTCCCTGTGCTTCCCTGGGCCTGCACCACCTGCCAGCCGCTTTCTGGGACACGGGGGCTGACCTTTCCTCTTCCTGATCCTTTGCATCCAGACAAACCCAGCTCCTCAGTGCAGTCCCCAGGAGTCCTTGGGACCTCTTCCCACCCCACCTGCCTTTGCATCTCTGGGTGGCACGACCACCAGCTGCCCTAGACCAGCATCTTTCCTGGGCCAGGCTCCCAGGCCAGTCCAACCCCCAAATTCCTGAGGCCAAATCATTCCTGGAGGGATCCAGACCTTAGGAGAGAGCCTGAAAACATCTGACCCTCATCTGAATTGGGCCTCTGTGGGAACTCCTGAAGACAAAATCAATCCAGTTCTCAAAAGAGAGAACCGGAAGCTTAGACGAACCAGCTTTTCATGCCCAAAAAGTAAACACATGAGGTTCACAAAAAGAAGCAGACCTAAACTTGAAGGCCTGAGTCTCACACAAGAATCAGAAACTACAAAAGAAATCCAAATGTCAAAATCACAGAGAAAAAATAATAACATGAAAAACCAAAATAGCATATCCCCACCAAATACCAATAGTCCTCTAGAGGAGTACAATGAGAACCCCCTAGAGATAATGCAGGACATGGAACTCAAAAGTACAATTATAAACATGATAAAAGAATTCAGTGAATTTAAAAGAACACACCAAAAAATAAATCAAAGAACTGAAGGAAGATACGGATAAACTTCTGAACGAATTTGGAAAAGAGTTAGAAATATTGAAGACTACTCCAGCTGAAATGAAGAAGGAAGTGAAACACTCAGTAAGCCAATTACAAACAACAGGAGAAAGCCTCAACAGGATGACTGGAAGATAAAGTGGATGAACTAGACCACTCAAACAAAGACTATGAAAAATTTAAGAAATCACAAGAATGGAATATGCAGGAATTGAGTGATACAATAAAAACACCAAACTTGTGAATCATAGGCACACAGGAAAGAGAAGAATCCCAAGACAATGGCATGGACCAGATCTTCAACAGAATTGTGGAAGAAAATTTCCCAAACTTAAAGAAAGACATGCCCATACAAATACAAGAAGCATACAGAACACCAAACAGACAGGACCAGAACAGAAACTCTCCACGGCACATCGTAGTAAAAACACTACACGCACAAAACAAAGAGAAAATTCTGAAAGCTGCAAAAGAGAAACAACAAGTCACATATAAAGGAAAACCCATTAGGATCACAGCTGACTTTTCAATGCAAACTATGAAAGCCAGAAGAGCCTGGACCAAAGTATTCCCAGTGTTAAATGAACACAGTTGCCAACCCAGATTACTATATCCAGCCAAAATGTCATTATAGTTGAAGAGGAAAGAAAACTCTTCCATGACATATATATGCTGAAAGAATTCATGTCCACAAAATCAGCCTTTCAGGGAATTTTGGAAGCAATACAAAGAGCTGAAGAAAGGAACGACTATACCCAAGGGATTTCGGAAAGAAATCCAATGAAGGTATAACTGTCTGTAAGAAACTCATCTCACTTTCAAGGACAGACACTATCTCAAAGTGAAAGGATGGAAAAAAATATCCCAAGCAAATGGCACTAAGAAAAAAGGCATAGCAATCCTAATATCTGACAAAATAGACTTTAAACTAAAACTATTCAGAAGAGACAAAGTGGGCCATTTCATTTTAGGCAAAGGAACAATGAATCAAGAAGATATTACAATCATGAACATATATTCACCAAACTCTGGTGCACCAAACTTCATTAAAACAATGCTACAGGACTTTAAGACCCAAATTAACCCCAACTCATTAATAGTAGGGGACTTCAATACCCTACTGTCTCCATTAGATAGGTCAACAGGGCAGAGAGTTAACAGAGAGACATCTGAATTAAACAATACCAAATATCAAATGGACTTAACAGACATCTACTGAGTATTCCACCCAAGCACCAAAGGACATACTTTCTACTCGGCACCCCATTGGAACCTTCTCCCAAATAGACCATATACTGGGGCACAAAACAAATCTCAACAAATACAAAAAGACTGAAATAATTTCATGCATTCCATCAGACCACAATGCAATAAAGCTTACAATCAACATCCGAAGACGCCCTAATCACCACATGAACACATGGAGATTAAACAACACACTCCTGAATGATGAATGGGTCAAAAGAGAAATTAAGAAAGAAAGAAAAGTATCCCTGGAACTAAATGAAAAGGACACGCTGAAAACGGTCCTTAGAGGGAAGTTTATAGCCCTAAGTGCCTACATCAAAAACTCAGAAAGAACACAAATAAATGACTTAACATTGCAACTCAACACACTTGAAAAGCAACAGCAAACGAAACCCAAACCCAGAAGACAAGAAGAAATAACAAAATCAGGGCAGAAATTAGTGAAATCGAAACAATACAATACAAAGAATCAACAACTCCAAGAGCTGGTTCTTTGAAAAGATAAACAAGATTGACAGACCGCTAGCCCAGTTAATCTACATGCTACTAAATTTGAAAACCTAAAAGAAGTGGACGGCTATCTATATGCTACTAAATTTGAAAACCTAAAAGAAATGGATGGGTATCTAAAGGCATGGGAACCACCAAAACTAAACTAAGAGATTAACAGCTTAAACAGACCCATAAAACAAAAAGAAATTGAAACAGTAATGCAAAACCTCGTGACTAAAAAAAGCCCAGGACCAGATGAATTGACAGAAGAACTCTACTAGACATTTAAAGAGGATCTACATCCAATACTACTTAATTCATTCAAAAATATAGAAAGGGAGGGAGAACTTCCAAATTCCTTCTATGAAGCCAGCATCACTCTAATACCAAAGCCAGGTAAGGACACAACCAAAAGAGAAAACTATAGACCCATATCCTAATTGAATATAGATGCAAAAATTCTCAACAAAATACTTGGAAACTGCATACAGACACACATCAAAAAGATCATCCACCATGATCAAGTAGGCTTTATCCCAGAGATGCAGGGAT